CAGACAAGACACAACAGAGCTAGACAAGACACAACACAGTTGCACAAGACACAACAGAGTTGCACAAGACACAACAGAGTTGCACAAGACAGACAAGACACAACAGAGATCAGTCTCCACATTAAGCTGGCAGCGCTGTTTTGTTGTTGTGACTGTTTGTTGTTGTGACTGTTTGTTGTTGTGACTGGTTTGTTGTTGTGACTGGTTTGTTGTTGTGACTGGTTTGTTGTTGTGACTGGTTTGTTGTTGTGACTGTTTTGTTGTTGTGACTGTTGAAGCATACAGCTAATCTGGCCATGTGAGGGTACAAGACACTGCAGACTTCACAACCCCCACCCAGACCCAAGCCTAACAATGTGAAATCGTCGTTAGCCCGTGAATTAGAGTTTACCCCAATTTCTTCTTGAACAGACTGTGGCAGTATATGAATATATCAGTACTGGTGGGTTTTCTGGTTAACTTCGATGAACAGTCACCAAGTGATATAGATCGGTAAAATAGAGATTAAGCTCCTCTACCGAAATATATAAATGTGACTAAATTTCAACTGCAGGTTTATTATCTGTACACTCCTTCTTTTCCAACAACTCATTAAGAAAAAAGAAGAAAAGACGAGAAATTCATGAAAGTTTAGTTCGTCAAAAGTTCAAATGTGCTCAGTTTTTGACTTGCCTAACGCGCCTCTTGAAACTTTCTTGAGCGACACCTAGTTTGGGAACCACAGATACAGGCAGTAGAGGGTCGTGGTCGCCATTATCTGCCCCAGTCCCGTTACCCGGAGAATGGGGAAGGGATGAGCTTAAAGGCGAAGGGAAAGACGGAGCGATTGGTTGGGGGGGGGGGGGTGGGGGGAGACGGTTGGTATTCTTTAGATTTTGTGTTTGGTGAAGCCCTCAGTTTTTAGGCGTACACCCTGAACTTCTCTTGTCACAGATGGGCTTCCAGACTACCCCTTTCCGAACACCCCGAATTAAACTCCTACAAAAATTGAAATACAGATGTCTCTTACAGCCCAGAAAGGGTGCTCTTTCTTCTCATGTAAACTCCCAACATATGGCAGTTAATTTGAACGTTTTATGATTCGGTTTCTCTGTCTGTCGGACTCTCCCGTCGCTTGTCTCTTTCTCCATCGTCCGTTCCCGTCGCCTGCTCCTTTCTCCCTCGTTCGTGTTACACTCTGGCTCAAACTGCCGAGCCTGGGCACATGAAATCAATACATGACCAACAACCATTAGCAGATATTGTTGTCAATGTCGGCCGCTTGCAAAGGTTTCTAATTAGTATGATGTGGCTCCCAGCCTGCGCTTCTTTCTCGCCTGCCCGTCTTAGTTCTTGACGGCGGCTTAATGTTGTGTCTATGGCGTTGTCAATGTGTTTGTTCCTAGGCGTATGTGCACATTTGTTCCTAGGCCTGTGTGCACATTTGTTCCTAGGTCTATGTGCACATTTGTTCCTAGGTCTATGTGCACACATGTTCCTAGACCTATGTGCACATTTGGTCCTAGACCTATGTGCCCATTTGTTCTTTTGCGTATGAGAGCATTTGTTTTTGGACGTATCTACTTGTTGTTTTTGAACGTAGTACATATGTATTCTTGGGCGTATGTACGTGTCTGTTGCAACGCGTGTGCATTTTTTTTTGGGGGGGGGGGGGGGGGGGGGGGTCGTGTGCGCGTTTGCTCGTGTTCTATGTGCGTATCGGAACTGGAATGTTTCGCATTTACTAGTAGGATCCTAAATGTAGATGTTTATGTCTGTGCGCGTAGGTTCTTATGCGTTCTTGTACGTGAACGTTCGTGTAGTAATTACATCTAAGTCCCCGTCTCTCCAACGTTGCATTAACAAACAACCAACAACGATGTTTGACATAGATAACGTGTGCGCATTTCAGGGAAAAAAGAACGTCAACGGCCGGAAACACTGGCAAAGAGCGGTTGCCTAACAACAAGTCACACGAGAACAAACATGCCATATTGGCTAATTCAAACATGTCCGGGTTGCTGGGAAAACAGAGACACATACAACGTTGCGCATTTTGACAAACGTCTTTTGTAACGAACGGACTAAGTGAGATACGAATAATTATCTAAAAGTTAAAATAACGTAGCCGCGCACACCTTTAGTTTTACACTTTCAGGACTGATGATCACTCCCCCCCCCCTCCTTTCTGTCCCCTCTCTCACTCTCTCTCTCTCTCTCTCTCTCTCTCTCTCTCTCTCTCTCTCTCTCTCTCTCTCTCTCTCTCTCTCTCTCTCTCTTCCCGCATTTACGCAATGTGCAAGGACAAAAACATTACACAATAAGTGCATTAGTAGCAATTAAGCTTTATGTATAGCAGAAGTAGTCACTGATGAAAACATATTTTTTAGTAGCCTTTGACCAAATAGCAAAATGAGAGAACACATTACACGATGGATGGGTTGCTGTGGAAGAACCAATGTTTCTTGAATCTTTTTGGGGGGTTGTAAGAGTTAATAGTTATGCTGCCTGTTGGCATTTACTTTCGACTTAATCTCATTAATTTTTTTAACGTCCTTATTGTACTGTTTTTGTCATTTTTGATTTAAAATAATCGCCAATCTTGTGCATGTCAATTTTCTTAAATTGTTGATATTGATGACACTTAACATGTAGGTTGTATTTTTGTTATTAATTAACATTCATACCGCTGGATTCTCACATTTCAACATGTCCCTGGACATTGCATTAGAGCCTCATGTTTATTTGCTTGCCTGTTTGGCATGTAAGTCAAAGGAACTTTCGCCACGCCTCCAGGCGTGTTGCGCCTACAGGGCTAGATATATATTTTATTGACCAATCGGCTCTAGAGGGTGACGTGGGTTAGCGTCACACCGACCGCCTTTACTTCTCAGGACTTCTACCTGGTACCTATTTAAGGCTGGGTCGACCTGAGAGCCTGAAAAAAGCCCGGCTGCCATGTTCCTGGTAAATATCAAAGACCTTGTTAGTCTTTCCCCTTCAGCGCCGCTTTCAGCAATGAAGTTTACAGGTGTAGCTGGTACCTGGTGGTGGTCTGTTTGACAGCTGGTACCTGGTGGTGGTCTGTTTGACAGCTGGTACCTGGTGGTGGTCTGTTTGACAGCTGGTACCTGGTGGTGGTCTGTTTGACAGCTGGTACCTGGTGGTGGTCTGTTTGACAGCTGGTACCTGGTGGTGGTCTGTTTGACAGCTGGTACCTGGTGGTGGTCTGTTTGACAGCTGGTACCTGGTGGTGGTCTGTTTGACAGCTGGTACATGGTGATGGTCTGTTTGACAGCTGGTACCTGGTGGTGGTCTGTTTGGACAGCTGGTACATGGTGGTGGTCTGTTTGACCACGTTACAGCTGCTAGCATTCTTGACCAGTTAGCACAGCTTGCACACTTGACTACAGTCACTCCTAGCATACTTAACAACAGCTAATACACATGGCCACAGCTAGCACATTGGACCACAGCTAGCACATTGGACCACAACTAGCACATTGGACCACAGCTAGCACATTGGACCACAGCTAGCACATTGGACCACAACTAGCACATTGGACCACAGCTAGCACATTGGACCACAGCTAGCACATTGGACCACAGCTAGCACATTAGACCACAGCTAGCACATTGGACCACAACTAGCACATTGGACCACAACTAGCACATTGGACCACAGCTAGCACATTGGACCACAGCTAGCACATTGGACCACAACTAGCACATTAGACCACAGCTAGCACATTAGACCACAGCTAGCACATTAGACCACAGCTAGCACATTGGACCACAGCTAGCACATTTGACCACAGCTAGCACATTGGACCACAGCTAGCACATTGGACCACAGCTAGCACATTGGACCACAGCTAGCACATTGGACCACAGCTAGCACATTAGACCACAACTAGCACATTGGACCACAGCTAGCACATTTGACCACAACTAGCACATTTGACCACAACTAGCAAATTTGACCATAGTTAGCACATTAGACCACAGTTAGCACATTAGACCACAGCTAGCACATTGGACCATAACTAGCACATTGGACCATAACTAGCAAATTGGACCACAGCTAGCACATTAGACTATAGCTAGCACATTAGACCACAACTAGCACATTAGACCACAACTAGCACATTAGACCACAGCTAGCACATTAGACCACAGCTAGCACATGAGACCACAGCTAGCACATTAGACCACAGCTAGCACATTGGACCATAACTAGCACATTTGACCACAACTAGCAAATTGGACCACAGTTAGCACATTAGACCACAGCTAGCACATTGGACCATAACTAGCACATTTGACCACAACTAGCAAATTGGACCACAGCTAGCACATTAGACCATAGCTAGCACATTAGACCATAGCTAGCACATTAGACCACAGCTAGCACATTAGACCATAGCTAGCACATTTGACCACAACTAGCACATTAGACCACAGCTAGCACATTAGACCATAGCTAGCACATTAGACCACAGCTAGCACATTAGACCACAGCTAGCACATTAGACCACAGCTAGCACATTGGACCACAGCTAGCACATTAGACCACAGCTAGCACATTAGACCACAGCTAGCACATTGGACCACAGCTAGCACATTAGACCACAGCTAGCACATTAGACCACAGCTAGCACATTAGACCACAGCTAGCACATTGGACCACAGCTAGCACATTAGACCACAGCTAGCACATTAGACCACAGCTAGCACATTTGACCACAGCTAGCACATTAGACCACAACTAGTACACCTGACTACTGCTACACTTATGCTTGTTGCTGGTCAGTTTGAATTGATGATTTATTATAGGAATCATCACACAACAGAGATTATCATTCTGTCTAATCACCACACAACAGAGATTATCCATCTGTCTAATCACCCCACAACAAAGATTATCATTCTGTCTAACCACCCCACAACAGAGATTATCATTCTGAATAATCACCACACAACAGAGATTATCATTATTTTTAATTCCCTGTTTCCCCCAGGTTTGCTGACTAGGCCGAAAAAAGAGAAAAAAGACAGCCAGAACAGAAGAACAAGAACAAGAGTCAACAGAACACTGCACCCTGTAAATAACCCATCAGAAACATGCAGACAGTTTTGCTATGTAAATAAAAAACTTGAAGTTTCTTTAAAAATCTTTTTAAATTTACTTTCGGAAAGTGTTCCTTGTATGGGGGCAGTTTTAACTTTCCTGGCCATCAGTGCGCCAGGTTTACCTCTTCAGTTCCCCCTTTTCCCGAGCCTCTTTGCAGTATTATAAATAGCAGTGAAAGATCTAAACACATTACTATCACACTGATTGTTCACAGTGATTGTTCACAGTGATTGTTCACAGTGATTCTTCACACGGATTCTTCACATGGATTCTTCACACGGATTCTTCACACGGATTCTGAGTCTGTAGAGAACATTCTGGAACTGTGAGATCTCATTTGCTGATTGATTCATCATCATCATCAAAACTATTTCTGCCGCTCCATCTCGTGGGAAGGAATAATTTGCGACCCAGTACTCGCTGGCTGGCACTGGCTATTGCCATGCTGTGAAGGCGTAAAGTGTCTTTAATGTTGCTGATCCATATTTTCCATGGCCGCCGTCTTATAGCTGATCTTCTGAGATGTAGTGCCTGTGATAGCATTTGATGTTGCTGCATTCTAACAAGATGGCCAAACTGATTGATTAACTGAATAACGAGACTGGCACTTCATGGGCGTTTACATATGTTCTTCTCTATGAGAAGATTTTGCAGTGTAGAAATGCAGTTTGTTCTCACAGCACACTTATTGTGAATGCAGCTATGTCATCTGTGCTGGCAGTCACGTCTGCTACAGCCACAAGTGATGTTTGCAGTCTTAGTTTGGTTGATTCGTCGGTGTCTGCGCCAGCCATGACAGGTGAGGCTGAAATTGAGAAATCTGACACTTCACATAAAATCACAAAACCCTAGCTAGTTAGTACAGTATGCTTGAACGGTCGCACCTGCACACATTATGTTGTTATAGTGAAAGGTTATATGAGATTATGTGGTTTCATTGATTAGCTATGTAATTACAATAACAAATCACAGGTTAGATTGACAGAATCTGTGGTTACAGGCAGCAGGTAAAGTTTTGGACAAAGCTGTGAAATAGCTAGCAATTATTTCTTGAGGTAAAGATGTGGAAAAGGTCACTGTCAACCTTATAAAAGTATAACCCTGTATATGTAAGAATATAGACTGTTTTATGTGTCATTAGATTAACACAGCTCAAGTTGGCATAGTATCCCAACTCACTGATCCTCTTTTACCGACAAATGATGCATTCTAGATGGGTCAGAATAAAACTTTCTTCAAAAATTACTTTCTAGTGTGTGTTCTCTTCTCTATGGTAAAAAGGCTTACAATAATTTTAGAAATACTGCAATAGTGACAATAATTCTTCTTCTTTTTCTTAGCTTTTGCTTGCAGAAAACTCTGGCGACAAGTTTTGATTGTTCTTCCATTCCTTGACTTAAGTCTTGGTCCAGAAACTGAGTTTTGTAAGCACATCCATTTTACAGATTTGGCTTATTTGTATGCAAACTGTTGGTTCTTGGCCTGTTAGGCAGATGACTCTCTGCCTTGCTTTTAATTAGTAGTCTGCTACTTGTTCCTGGGGGGGGGGGGGGTGGTCTGTTCTTTGTTCTCCAAAATGGAGTGAATGACTTTCTACCCCACCAGGACATCACACAAGCGATAAACACCCGAAGACACAAGGTGCCACCATGTGGATGAGGATCGCAGTGGAAAGGTCCCAGAAACCGCGTTCAGACAATTGGCCATATTTATGGCCTGCCTATATTGCGGCCCCTGGCAAAACCAGGGTGGGGCTTCAAATGACAAAAAATTTCGTCCTAAAAAGGACGAAACTAGATAAGTATAAAATGGAGTGGATCCTCCCTTGGATTTTATCTTCCAAATCTTTTTCTTCTTCCATCTCTGGATGGATCAACTCACAACAGTCACTGTTAGACTTCCTGATGGGTTGGATTTTTTTCTTCCAAATCTTCTTCTAACTTCCATCTCTGGATGGATCAACTCACAACAGTCCCTGTTAGACTTCCTGAGTGGTTGGATTTTATCTTCCATATCTTCTTCTTCTTCTAACTTCCATCTCTGGATGGATCAACTCACAACAGTCCCTGTTAGACTTCCTGAGGGGTTGGATTTTTTCTTCCATATCTTCTTCTTCTTCTAACTTCCATCTCTGGATGGATCAACTCACAACAGTCACTGTTAGACTTCCTGAGGGGTTGGATTTTTCAGCTATGCTTTTCTATTAGAGAAGGACGCCTGAATATATCATCCTCTTCTTTGTTTATTGACTGTAAGCTCAAGTGGAAGGTCCTGCTTGTTCGTCCATTATTGACTTTGTGCCAGGGCCTAAGCATTGTGTATACATACTGGCTTATTTGTGTGCAGTTGGTTGTTCCTTGCCACTCTGGCAAATGCACTGCGACTTCGAAGTAATCCCCCAGTTAGTCAACTCTTACAGCAGACTTATTGGAGGATGGGGGGGGGGGGGGGCTGTGGGTCTATTCTTGTTTTCCCCACAATGGGGCCCTGGAACCCACACGGGGGTGATATTGTCTCCAACATCATAGATGCTCTTCAATCATGTACGGTATGTTACTGTGTTGTTATTCTTTGTGTCCCCGTTGCCCTGTTGAGGGTCTTGCGTGTAGAGTACAATGATTTATAATTAGCCTAGACACTTGTTTAGAAACAACATACCTGACAAGTTTTATTTGTAGAAGGCAATGCCAGCCACCTCATTGGTCAACACAATATATGAACTCATTCAGCTTCAGGTAGCAAGCACTGTACGAAACTCAACCATCACATTCTATGTTAGTTGGCTTTTTATATTTGGTCGGAACATGCTGAAGAAATCTGTCTCTATCAATTGTCACTTCCATTGTATTCACTTCATAGAAAGTGATGCACTCATGATTCGTCAGTATCTTGCTGCAGAATTAGACAGTCTACATTCTTTGGTCGCATCATCGGAAGGGAAAACTAGAGTACATCGTGATGTTGGAAAGGTTAGAGGGAAAACGGGTAAATCGTGATGTTGGCAAGGTTAGAGGGAAAACTGGAGTAGATCATGATAATGGAAGATTAGAGGGAAAAGTGGAGTACATCGTGATGTTGGAAAGGTTAGAGGGAAAACTGGAGTAGATCGTGATGTTGGCAAGGTTAGAGGGAAAAGTGGAGTACATCGTGATGTTGGAAAGATCCAGGGCAAAATGATGCAGGAGAGACCAAGCGGATTCTGGGAAGTTTGACATCATTGTATAGAGGATCATCTGTGTCAGAACTGATTCAAGTATATGATGCAGAAGACTAGGGGAAGATATGGTCCTCAGCTTCATATTGCAGGGACTATACAAAGATTTGCAAACCTTTTGGAGCTGAAAGTGATAGAGATACTCAGGCCAGTTTTTTTTCAGAAGAAGTCAAAATGGGAGGAGTTAAGTATCAAACAATTTTGAAAGTACATTTGTTTTGGTAGTAATCTTTTGTACTAACGTGTTTCCATTTAATTATACATTTTTATAGAATCTTTAAGTGTTAAAACTTTATAAAATAAAAAGCCAAGAACACTTTTGTTTTCAGCAACAGTTTGTACGTCTGCTGTTAAAAATCTAAATAATAGTCCTTGAGGTTTTCTTGTTTCCTTCCTAGGGAGAGTGACATGAAAAAGATGGAGAAGACAAGAGGAGTTGCATGAAATAGCAAACGATAGGATGACGTGGCATGAAATGGTTTAGCCCCTGTGCTCCACTGGGGATAAAAGGCATAAGGAGAGAAAGTAAATTATCAAGAAACCAAAATTCTTATCAATAGGCTGCAATAGAGGCAAAGAACCTTCTGAATGATACACACACAATGACAGTCATATACAAAAATCAAGCATAAAAAACGTACATTGTTTCATTACATTTTAACATATTTTATTCAATTCCCGGGAAATCTGTTTTTGACATGTAATTATCTCTCCAACCCGCCCCACCTTTTCTCGTCAAAGCTACAATTGTTGTCGATCTGAAGGGCTACAGCTCCAGATAACACCAACAATCAATATCTGTAATTATAGATTCATGCATCAAGATAATTAAAATGGCGTGACATTTTATAACTCACGTTTAATCACCATTTTCCATACCATCATCAGATTTACGGGCGGAAAAAGAAGCAGAAAAAAAGTTTCCTAAATTAAAGCCATTATATCAGCGAAATGAAGTTCTTTTTTTCTTTTTTTTTTTGGTCAACATTAACTAGAAATATGCAAATGTGTGTAGTCTACCTGGTATAACATTATTGATTATGTGCCAGATTTTTTGCGATGTAAGGTTAAAATAGTTATTTTATTTTGTCGCCAGAAATGTCCTGATTATTATTATTAATTGTCCTTAATAATTAAATCAGAGTATTCGTTTTTGAGGCCGTTATTATTTGTCCATTTCTTTGATGTCTTCATGTCTTAGCCTTTCTTTCAATTTACGAGTGACAGTGTGGGTTTTAGTTGAATCTTTGACAATAGATATTTTTTTCTTTTTTTTGTTTTAGTTGCTAATTAGTTTTTTTTTTTTGTTTAAGAACTAAAAACTAATTATATAATGATACCTCCTGCATGCTGTAGTCAGATTTGATTATCTTCTGTTGTTGATTTGCACAACGTATGTGTGGTAAATTTCATGGTAAACAGGGAGATTGGTTGATGTCCTGGTTCTCTTCCACCCAGTTGTGTATTAGTGAACTCATAATATCAAGACTTCTCTGAAGTCTATGAAGACAATATGATAGAGAACTGATGTTTAATGCAGTGTTGATTATTTGTCAATAAAATCATCAACTGGGTGCTTTCTTCTTTTTAACCAGAAGCACTCGAGCATGGCTCATTTAGCTCAGTTTTGTAAGCATCGAAGCCGTTCAGTCTCAGTGCCACTTACACCGTTAATCTGTGGA